TAAATTCCTTTCTTTTTCTTTTTCTTTTTTAACCTTTTTATTTTAGGTTGATAATTTAGAGAACTTTTCTTTCTTTTTCGGTAAATCTGTGGATTCCAAATTCTATTCTTTCTACCTTTTAGCTGATAGTCTACTGAAAAATGTTTTTTTAAGTTGATTTGTTAGAAAAAAAATACCAAAATTTTTATAAAATCATTTAAATATTGTTAATAAATTACTCATATCATATATGTGTTTGTTCATTAATTATTTAAATATAATTTTTTCGTTTTGCACTAAACTAATGGATTCCATATTTTATTGCTCACCTTGACTTAAAAATAACTATTATTTTTTACAATAAAAAAAGTATTTTACAAGTCTTCTTTTTAAATTTTTTTATAAAATATGTTTGAAAATTTATTTTTTAATTAATTCTTTAAAAAAATAATTATTAAATTGAAATTTGTATTCATAAAAATCATATATATTGAGTTTTAAATTATTTTTTTAATAGACTTAATTATTTTATTAATTATAAAAAAATTTAATACCATTAAATATATATCAATAAATAAAATTTTTTATCAAAAAATTATTAATGTTAGATTAACATAAAAAATTAATCACATACATGATTTATATAAATAAAATTTTTAATTCAACGATCAATTTTAAAAAAATATTAATTAAAATATAAGTTTTTAGATAATTTTTTTTAAAAAAAATTAAAAGGAGAACTTAATCTATCTCTTTTGATCTTTGGAATTTGGATCCTCCTCCCTCTCACCAGCCTTTGAACCCCAGACCCCAAAGCCAGAACCCCAGACCCCAAAGCCAAGAAACCAGATTCTCAGCCAACTGGACCCTCCCTACACTTATATGCTTTCACAATTTACTACTGTGAATAACTTAACTTTACAATATCAAGTAATAATTTTTTTTGTATGAATCACCCGGTATTCGAAAGCTTACTGGGTCACTAGTTAATCCAGATTCGATCTGACGGACAATAAAACTTTCTCTTATGAGTTTTAATGGAACTACATTCTTAAAATTTAAAAACAAGACCTCTAATTAATTTGGAAGAGTCTCGTACCAACTCATTCATCTGTCTGTAGGTAATATCAAGTAAGAATTTGACAACACGCGCGCTGCAATGGTAGGTGTACCCAGATTCATGGCCGAGAAAAGGTTTCAATTTCTACTTTGCAAAAATCACATTCCTCAAAATCTCATGTTCAATAAAAAGAAAGAAAAAAAGGAAGAGTAGGAAGTTGACAAGCTCACATGGGATATTAGGTAACAACTCTCAAGTCATTTTAATAATCCATTGAAGGAAGTTTCATGGCCACAGGTAACAAGCTCAAGTTGGTTTCACATGTTTTAGAGAACAGAAGTCGTACCTAACAAGGTGACCAAGGAAAAGGTCTGCGCGGCCCCACACTTGACAAACCAAAGGCAAGCTTACTTCTTTCCTCAGCTCGGTGTGCTCCGTGATCATTGGGAGTCTTCTTCCTTTGCCTGCCAACTGCCTTCATGAAGCTATATATGGCAAAATCACTTATAGTTTCAGTTCATAGGTTGCAATTGATAAGTTGCCCCCTAACAAGGACACCTCCTACTAAAATGGGTTTTATTTCCTTTTTAATCTTATGTTACAATATAAGAATAATTATTTTTTATTTTTTAATTCAACTTGTTTACTGCAACTTAGATTTAATATTTTTTACTTCCATTAAAATGAAATTAACATTGAATTATTGAATTTGTTAACACGAAAATGAGTCTTCTTCCCAAAACAAACATAATTCCTCTCTTCTTGCCCCAAACTCTCCCTTTCCTTTGTGCTGTGCAAACTTACCCTACACGGCAGACCTAAGTTTACTAGATTTCGTTCTGTTCCCTTGTACTCTCATTGAAGAATCTTGTTTCATGGGCAAGGCAGACCTAAGTTTACTAGGTTTCGTTCTGTTCCCTTGTACTCTCATTGAAGAATCTTGTTTCATGGGCAAGAATTTTGTTCATGGGCAAAAAAAAAAAAAAAAAAAGGGTTTAGTACATTATTAATGTACTCTAGGACATTGATTATATATCTAATTAAAAAGATAATTAATTATTCCAATTATTTTTAATTGGTTTTCTCACCAAAGAAAACACAATGTAATGACTAGTACGAAACCAAACCTACCAACTAGCTGATGGGCACGTGGTCGAGTTAGTTGTTACTAACCCAAATGGTAGCTGGGGAGCCATAAATTTGGTGGTAGGTACTTGGTGAAGTGAGAAAATTAAAAGACTATTTAAGAGATTGTTGGAGGAATTCTCCTCAATTGCTCAAGCGAAAAAATGGAAGTCCAAAACCAGAAGAAGATGAAGATCCTTTGTCTCCATGGTTTCAGAACCAGTGGCAGTTTCCTTCAAAAGCAAATCAGCAAGTGGGATCCTTCAATTTTTGCTCCCTTTCAATTGGTACCATACTCTTTTCATCTTTGCTTTTCCTTTACTTTCTTTCTGTTATGTTTTTTTCTCTTAAACTTCTCGGCCAAGGATGTCATTACAAAGTGTCAAAAATTGAGGGCTAAATTAGGTATAAAATCAGCATTTGAAAGTAAAGTTCATAAAGTTGTTTGAATTAGCCATTCAAATGAAATTGATAATTTGATATTTGATAACTAATAATTATATTATTATTTATAATTTAAAATAATCGAACCCAACAACTTATAGTTATTTTTAAAATGGTATTCTAAATACCTCCACTCCCTCATTCGTTTTAGAATAATTATTGTATATATTTCCTCTATTTAAGTAGTAAATCTTTTACAAAAGTGCTGAATCATATACTCATGTAAAACAATAATAACAATTTTAAAGATTGATAAAAATTATCAACTTCAAATACTTGACAGATTATTGCATTTCATGCTTTAAAAGTTGAAAATCGTAAAAAAAAAAAAAATCAGAAGATAAGCTTAGAAAATCACTTGTGTCTTAAATTCAATTTTTACGGTAAAGAAAATCTTTTCAAAAGCATGTGTCAAACAAGCACACATAAATTACATGAGTTGGAAATGAATGAAATAAAGAAAATGAAATATTTTTGTATCAACAGGAGTTTCCAGATGGTATATTTCCGGCTGGGGGTAAATCTGATATAGAAGGCATCTTCCCTCCACCTTACTTCGAATGGTTCCAATTCAACAAGGTATATAATTGGCAAGTTCTTCCTTAATCTTGTTATAGAATTCGATTCCAAGTCCTTGACACAAATTCTCAAATGCAGGACTTCACTGAGTACACTAACTTGGAAGAATGCATTTCTTACCTCTGTGAATACATAACAACCAAAGGTCCTTTTGATGGGTTACTTGGTTTCTCCCAAGTATGTGTTTATTAAAACTATAGAGTTTTCTAGATTTTAATGTTCATGCAACTTTCAGAATCTTAACTCGTTCTTTAATTATGGTAACCTTTACAGGGTACAACATTGTCTGGACTTCTGATGGGGTACCAAATGCAAGGAAAGGTACTGAAGGAGCATCCACCTTTCAAGCTATTCATAGCAATATCTGGATCCAAATTCAGAGATCCAAGTATTTGTGATGTTGCCTACAAAGATAAAATCAAAGTCAGATCAGTCCACTTCATAGGAGAGAAGGATTGGTTGAAATTGCCTTCTGAGGACCTTGCCAATGCCTTTGAGGACCCTCTCATTATAAGGCACCCCCAAGGACATACTGTCCCAAGACTAGGTATGTTCTTTTTTTTTTTTCTTCTTAACGAAACATTGGATTATATAATGAAAGATAATTCATAATTTTAGCTCCAAAGATCCTCTCTAGTTATGGTAAACCAAATGATTTGAGTATGAGACTTTCAAGTTTCTTTCTTTTGCTAATGTGACACATGAAACTCGATCATGCACAGATGAGGCAGCAATAGAGAAGTTGCAGAAATGGACCAAGGAGATCATCGTTGCCCATAGCAGTGAAAATGTTTTGGATGATGTACAAAAAATTGGGAATGGAGATGCAGTACAGAAAATTCCACAAGATTCTCATGACAACATTGCTAATGGCCACAAGGATGCATTGGGAGATTCCGGCGAGAAGGAACAAACTGTGGATGCGGTCCCTACTTGAACTAAATATGTTACTAAATCATAACGAATGTTGTTAATATCGCATTGGTATGTGTACTATTTTTATGATTGATATATGTATTTATTGCATTTCAAATTAGATTATATTGTGTGCTAGTACTGTTTTGCATTTGCCTTTACAAATATTTATTTTTGAACTAAACCATAATTCCTCATCCAATTGGCATCATCAACAACATTACCAACTAATAAATAAGTACCAATAAGAACTTGGTTGAGTTGATACCTATTAACTTAAAAACCTTAATTTGAAGTCAAGGTTAGAGATTCAAACATTTAAAATCAACAAACACTAATAAATCAATGCCACTTGTCACAAACCCATTTAGTGACATGGATTTTATTGTATGGTGGAGATCAACCAGAAGTTAATTGCTGTTAGGGAGAGCAAGGACATTCTCTTGGTGAAGAACTTGAAGAGGATCCCACTTGCAGCACTAGCTTGAGTATAATTCTCAAGAATTTGCAGGTGAAACTGAGGAAACATTGTAATGTAGAGTGAGCATTGTTTCTGTTGAAGTATAAAATCCCAGCTTCCATGAGAAATAGGAAATCTTTTTCATGATTCATTAAAACTGTTTTAGACAGAAGGCAAGATTACAGAGGAAAGATGGTACAGGGAAGATGGCACATATACAAGGGAAAATCAGAGGGTCAAGGGAATTAGTGCTGGAAACAGAGCTCTTCAGCTCATTGTCTTTAAGAACAACCTAGATTTGCCTTCATTTGAGATGGGCGTAGACGAACCAAGTAGAACATTAAAGTGGTGGGATTCATTCGGATTTAGCCTTCAATTTATCTTTCTCCTCTGTTAGTGGCTTAACTACCAGCCTAAAGGTCCAGACTGCCAGCACAGTTGCTTCCATTGGAGCAAGCCAGTATACAATTATGTGCTCCTTTGTGATATGATCTCCACGAGCATAAGCCCATCCCATCACCTATAGAATTTGAACAGTTACAATCCAGTGAGATTCCTTACAGAAAGGAGAATATTTACATCAACATTTTATGCATTTGGGTACTTACAGCAGCTGGGTTCATACATCCACCTGTTAGATCAGAGCCAAGTATATGAAGAGTTAACTTGGAGACACTTGAGATCCAGGTTTTCATGAAAAAACCACCAGGGATATTTCTTGCCAGTCCAAGTGAGATGATAACAATTACAAATGTCAAGAGTCCTTCTGTAAGTGCACCTCGATGTATGTCAACACTTAATCGTGGCCCAAGTCCTACTTCAGGAAAAGTGTCGATAATGTGCTTAACCCCAACAATAGATCCAATTACCTGAAGGAAAAAGTACAAAGAAGAGAAAAATACAGATGAAAATAACACAAAATGAATGCCCCTGTAAAGGGAAAAACTCTCTTTACACTGATTTGAAACTAGAGGGTTTTAAGTTAATCTCAATGGGAAGATGCAAATTATTAAACTGATGAGGTACAGGGCTTTGCCTCAGAAATTAGAACATTTATCCATGTGTATACAGTCCCACGTGCATATTCCAACATGCAAGCAAGAGAGATGGCCATGGAAATTCATTGAGCTCTTATTCATCTTACATCCGCAATGCAAACATCACAGTCATAAGTTTATAACTTAAAAAACCAGTAGCTGTAATCAAATGCTTGAATACATCGTAGAGACTAATAGGGCACTAAACATCATTGACATCACTAGCCAAGTGATAATGCTTATATACTCAGTATATTCATGTATAATCCATTTTCTGCTTTTAAGCTTGCCCTACCTGTTTTCATATTTCTCACTTTTCAGGAAACAAGAAAAAAAATTCAGCTAGCAGACTAAACTGCTGAATTTCATAATTATCAAACAAAAAAGGTTGAATTTTCATTAATGTTTGTTGACTTCAAGACCATCCTCTAAAGTAGTTATATTAGAATCAATTGACATCAAGTCTAATTTACCTTTGTGCATGTGCAAGTCATAATGCTAGTTTAGAAACAAATGAATACTTCAATCAAAGTACCACAAGATAATGGCAAATCACCCCTCTCATTTCTTGTTTTCCATGTTACTTCCATTCTAGCAGAACAATCCAGTTAAAAAAGAAGATAGCATAGTTGTTAAATTTGCAAGTTAGGTTGTGGGATATTGCAATTTTACGATTTCAGCTAAGCAAAATTGGTCAGATAAGACATGGCAACTCAGGCCAGATGACAAAACTCATAGCTCTGATACCGAGCAGACAGGCAACATCCTCATTTAGAAGCTGAAGTTAAAAACCTCACCGTTCTAATTTCAGGTATTAAGCAATTCAAACAAATGACAGCATAACAAACCAATTATTAAACAAACAGGATGAAAGAATCAGAATTTTGAGTAATGAATCTTAACAGTAACTCCTTTCTCTTCTTGGTCCATAATAAGGAAGCTTCTTATCTATTTGGACAACAAAAACTCAGAAAATAGCAAGATTAGAACATTTTCTACCCATTATTAGATATGAAAGCAAGTTCCTTGGAAAAAAAGCTAGAACCTTTTTCTCTGATTTTCTCGGCAACCAAACAACCATACAAAACCCAATTCACACTCAAATTAACTCGAATAACTACACACAGGAAATTGGATCCTCCATTAAACAGAAGCTAACCTGAGCAGGGATCCTGGCACCCACGGTGAAGAGAAATTGATTAAAATCCCCGGAGACGGCAGAGGCCAAGACAGTCAAAGGATTATACGCCCCTCCTTTCGTGACCTTCCCCAAGAACGCGAAGAAGAACATGTACATGATCGACAGAGCTCCCTTTATAATCTCACCTCTGGGGTCATGACCCATCCCCAGAACCTTCCCGACGAACAACTTCACCAGAGCTCCAGCCCATACCCACATGAAGGAAAACACGAAATCCCACAAAATCAAGCGGGCTTTACCCATTTGATGCGGCAGATTACTCGGGTTTTGGAATTACAAGTCCGGATGGAACTCGAATTATGGGTACGGGAAGAGCTGATCGGATCAGTTTCCGGCGGCTGAAATTGAAATTGGATGTAGGTTGCTTCCAATCAGAATCTGAAACAGACAAGATTCTCAGAGTTGATTGGTCCGCACGAACTTTCAGTGTTTGTTTTTGAATGTGCTTTTGGTCGCAACCTGCGTATTAAAATATATATTATATTTGGTTTTTGTTTTTTAGCTAAGACATTCGTATTTGATATTCATATAATGTACAATTAATTTAGAGTCAATCACATCAAGCTCATAAAAAAAAAAAACTCTCTTAATATATATTTTTATTTATAAAATTTAAACTTAAAATTTTATTTTTAAAAAAATAAATTTTTTTTGTTCAAATCAATAAATTATTATATTATATTTAATCCTTAGCTTTGAACTAATTTCTCATTTCGCCACTAACCTCTCCCTTCTTAATAAAATAAGGCCTTTCTCCATCTTTTTCTAAGAGCTTAAGTAGCCTAATTGAAGATGAATACACTAACTTTTATAAAAATATTAAATTATAAAACTAGACAAAAATAGTATCTTATAAACAATTGAAACGTATCCATGTTGTTTTTGAATTTTTTTTTGTCATTTACAACAAGACACAAATGACTACTATTTACTTACAAGTTGGAATCTCATTAACCTGTTATACCAAGTCAAACATATAATTCTTTACGTTGTGAAATTTT